AACAACGTCTAGACTTATTTTAGCTTTAGATTTCATAAGAACATAAAAGGACAAAATGAATCACATGATTCTTTCATTGTAAGAAAAAACAAACAGTAGAAAATAAAATTGATAAAAAGATTTTCGCCTGTTTTCTAATAATATATCTTCTTAATAATGATGTCAGTTGAGAGTATAGTGAATTTTGGATCATAGTTCAGACGTTCCGACTATATATATTTTGCATGTCTGTTCAACTTTTATATATTCGACAACATAGAAAAAAAATACTTAGAATGGCAGAAAATCTATGAAACAATCTTCATATATAGAGCGTGCAATAGTTCAATGAACCTTGTAAACGTAGAATAATTTTTATTGCATACCTTTACATGTTAGTAAACGTTCCATTTTTTTAAATTGAATAAATTTGTAGAGAGAAGAATAACATATTCCATAGATCTGCGTGCGTTACTTGAAATATATATTTAGATGAACTTTTAGTTATATCAATCTTGTTACCATCTTGTAAAAACTGACTTATTATAATTGAATTTCGAATGCTTTTGAGTTTTTATAATTTGATGCGTTCTTACAGATCACTATCAAACTAATAAGTCATTTGTTACAAAAAGGTAACAACGTTGACTTCTTATAAGATGTGCGTAAGTGTAGGTACGAATGGAGAATAGGAACATTCATATCCATCCATACTCATATTAGCTCAAATATTTAGCATCAGCATTCTAGTAAGATGCAGATAAAACCTGAGCATTTTTCAGTTTTGGATTCTAACACTGTTTATCATTTTATAGCTAAGGTGCTTGTCTGTAATCCATAGAAATCCTTCTAGCATTTCCAGACGATGCTTTGTATGAAATCTTTTCGAAAATCTGATAAAATCTGAGCGTTATCCTTTTGACCTCTCTGAATAAACTCTTACTTTCCAAGCTAAAAAAGGATATTCTTAGCTCGTGCCTGTAGAAAGCTAACTAAGTCCTTATCTTTTCCTATGAAAAGTGTTGATAAGATTAATATCAGTCTTTTGAGTATTTCAAAAAGTAGAAAGCGTCAGATTCCAAAGATCCACGTGGAATTCTGTCAAATTTACTCAGCTTCGCATGTATAGAAACCTTTTTATGATCTTGCTAAAATCCTATTAATATACTGATCCTTAAGAATCTTCAAAAACACAGGGATTAGATTTGATGTTTCTGGTTCAAGGATTCAACATCTTCCTGACAAGATGCAGATGGAATTTTCTCTGGATTTTTCCAGTTTAGAAGTTTCACATAGTTCATTATTTTATTGCTTAAATTCTTGTCTGATGTTCATATAAATGATCATCCTGCAAGAAAATTCTGAATTCTCTCAATTTCGAATAAAGTTCTTAGATTCCAATGTTTTTCTATCAAAACCTTGCATTGAATTAGCATTACTCTTATTCGGAAAATCTTCTTACAGCAATCCCCAGGTGTAGCTTTGAGGGTCCAAAAGATCTTGGCAAGAATTAAAAGTGCAATAGATGTAAGAATCGTTACGAAATCCTTTTTTTATAGGAAACTAGAAAAAGACTTCTGAATATTTATCTGCGGAACGAGCATTCTCAAAGGCGAATGCCGTATTTGTAGCGCTTGCTCTCACGAGAGACGGGATCCCTTCGATAACGACGATTCATTTCCTTTTTCGTTCATTGTAGTAATTCCCAATATTCCAGTTGATGCCCAATGGGCACAGAATGGTGTGACTGTTGCTGGAGGCCATGGAAGAGGCAGTGATACCAATCAACTCAACGGGCCTGAGGGTCTCTTCGTTGATGATGATCAAACGATTGTCATCGCTGACTTCAACAATCATCGTATCGTCCAGTGGAAGATGGGTGATACGAACGGACAAGTGGTAGCTGGCGGCAATGGCCTCGGAAGCCGATTGGATCAATTGAATTACGTAACCGATGTGTTGATCGACAAAGAGATGAATACTCTCATTATTTGTGATTCGATGAATCGACGAGTTGTACGATGGTCTCGTCGTAGTGGCACAACTGAAGGAGAAATCCTCATCAACAACATCGCTTGTGCTGGATTGGCTATGGATGATCAGAGATATCTCTACATCTCTGACACCGACAAACATGAAGTAAGACGATATCAAATAGGAGACAAGAATGGAACTATCGTGGCTGGTGGCAATGGCGAAGGTGATGGCCTCAATCAACTGAACTATCCGATCTACATCTTTGTCGATCGACAACAGACTGTTTACGTGTCAGACAACAACAATCATCGTGTAATGAAATGGAATAAAGGTGAACAAGAAGGAATTATCGTCGCTGGAGGTCAAGGCGAAGGAACTGCTCTAACACAATTGGGAAGTCCTAACGGACTGTTCGTCGATACATTGGGTACCATCTATGTAGCAGACTTCGGAAATAATCGAGTGATGCGTTGGCCTAAAGAAGCGAAACAGGGCACTGTCATTGTGAGTGGAAATGGTGAAGGAATAGGAGCAAATCAGTTCAGCGGTCTCCAGGGTTTGTCCTTCGATCGACATGGTAATCTCTATGTCGTCGAATATGGGAATGATCGTGTTCAACGATTTTCAGTCGAATAAACTGATAATGATGGATTATTTTTTTTCTTTCGTTTCTCGCAAATAAATCACTTTGAATTGGTGAAAAGTATGGCTATTCTATTCGCACGCGCGACCACTCTGTAGAAAAAAAGTTGACTGATTGAACCTTTTAGGATTCTAGATTTGGGTACCATTTTCAGAACCTTTTTTAGTTCTAGCGGAAGACGCTGAACTATTTAAAGTTGTAGATATTCTGGCTAGAACTTTTTTAAGTTCTGAATTTTTCGGCTAGAACAATGAAAAAAAGGTTCTGAAAATGGTACCCAAATCTAGAACCTTAAAATGTTCACTATGACACCTTTTTTTAGAGAGCAGGAAGCAACCTGGTGGAGCCGTGACGAGGGTGTCGGTGTGGGGTGTGAGCATTGGTAGTAGTTCTGTCATTCACTGGCATCCACACCCACACTCACACCCTAGTCGCCGCTTCGACGATCGAGTTGATCTTTCTCGAAGTTCGTAGTTACTGCATTATATAATCTAAAAAGTAGGGTTTTGCCCTCTCGAAATATTAAAAATTTTCTCATTGGACAAGAAAATCTAGATAAAATATTGAAAATGCTACTTGTTTCTTAGTTTTATGATATATTGAATAATTAAAGCAATAAGTGTTGATATCAATATAATAATTGATGACAATCGAATTTCTAGAAGGTTGATATAAGATGATAGAAAGAAAGATATATCTATATTTAGTCTATGATCATTATGAAAATTGTTTTCTGTTTGTTATTATGTATTCTTCTCATTAAATGTATCGAATCGAAAAAAACGATTCGTACGTAGGTATGTAGTAGTACAAAATGCAACGCAGCATTGAAATGAATTATTTGGATTTAGAATATTTGCTTCAAAAGAAAAAAAACATGTTTATACCGATTAAGAGCTTCATTGCATGACATCGATACTGTGATACTTGGTGATAATCCTGAAAAGAATATGGTGGCTAACCTTGAATGTGTATGGATAGATGGAGTTTTACAAAGAACTAAAAAGATAAAAGTATATCATAAAAAGCAAAATGAATCATTAGCACAATTTCGACCTCGTATACAATGGCTTTTTTGGAAAACTGTTAAATATGATTTGAAAATCTATTCGAATAAAGTACTTGATGCTATTTATTTTTTCTTACTGTTAATATTGGATCATCGAGGACTCGCAGATTATAGCCAATAACATTGATCTTAATTATTTGCATGCTTTCTTAAAATAATACAGAACTAAAACTTCCGCTGATTTTTGCTTTCATTTATTACTTTTTTGTCGAATTTTTTAAATAGTAGTTTAAAAAAGAAATCATTCTTGGAATAGAGATATAAATTCGACTGGAAGTCAAGACCCTATCATTTATTAATGAAGATTTTCTGTAAACTTTGCATGATTTATTGGATGTAAGTATATATGATATCTTTGCTTAGATTTTATGACTTCGAACTTGTTTTTGAACTTTTTCAAGTTTGTAACCGGTGGCATAGAATAAATTACTCTCTTACGAAGGAACTACCTCAACTGATTCCGAGCTTTTGACTTCATATTTTGGTTATAGATAGGCTTCAACAAGACGATGAAAGCCCAAGAAGCATTCGTGCCTATGGGCTGGTGATCCAAAGTTATAGTCGTTTTACTGAATTTTTAGTCTACGGCATAGTACACCCCAAATGAAGATGTTTCGGTCTGATATTCTGCCTATAAACAGCTCTAATAATTCCTAGCATGCACCAAAATTTTCAATGAAAATGGATGCTTTCTTCTTGAGCTATTCAATTTGCAGGGCAGTTCC